TTCATATTTAAATTAATTGAAATACAGGGAACATCTAAAATATCTTAGTAATACATGTACTCACAGTAGATCATAACAGAACAGAACTGAACAAACACTGACCGCTCTTTCGTAAGCTAGCTAGAAAATGTCTAAAGTACCTATCTAGATGCGAGTTTTTAATAAGAAAACCATCATATATGAAGAATTCCTTGTTTTAAATATTACATTAAAATTATAATTCAACATTTAAAGAATTTTACTAAACTCGATTTGTTTCTGTTGAAAGTTTTAAAATCGGTTTTTGAAAACTCATTGTATTTTTCCTAATAAATGACCGTCAAAATAAGGTCTTATCAAAGATAAAGACGTTTAAACTTCCAAGGATTGGTTTGTTAATAGAGGTTTTAAACTATATTCGATTGCCCTTTGTTAATGTTTAGTCGTTTCAAAAAGGCTTGAATTATAATGTAAGTTACTTAACAGATACCAGTATTAAAAATATTAAAACTCTTTTTTAATTTCTAAATACTCGGTTTGGTCGTTATAGACAGGGGATGTAGCGTAAACTTTTTCCCTATACATATGACAAACATGCAACGTTCTCACATTTCATTATCCATTATTTCTTAGTTATTGGTGATCATGCCATGTGCCACTTATGTATCATATGTTGTAAATGTTGATGAGCTCGTTTTGCTTAAACCGAGTAATAAAATTTCTGTACTGTTCTGTTCTGTTCTAAAAGATAATTATGAGGCGTTCAAAATATAAAAAAAACCAAAACGATGCTGATCTGTAACAAAAAATGAATCACAAATCCAGTGTTTTCAGATTTTTGGAAGGGTTTTAAGCTGCACGGCAATCACCTGTTGCTGACTGCACGTCAAAATGAATGAATTAATTCTAAGTCAATTACATAAGCTGCAACTTTATTTCGTCTTCTTTTTTTTTTTAAAGATCAGTTACCTGCAAAGTAAAAAGCGCTATTTAAAGGCTCCGCTTCTACCCCCGCCCAGAAATTCTGCGGAAATGTAACTGTCTTTGAACCGACTATGTAAACTTTGAACAAACAACTCCGTGCTTTCTCGGGCACATTCATACAACACGAGCCTTTTTTTTTCTTCTTCTTTATTTACGAGGTTTTCAAAGGGGAAGCCGATAGGCTAGCTCTGTCTATAAAATAAACACAGTGTTTGTAGATCACAAACAGTATAAAAACAAAAGAAACTTTGTTCTCCGGTATCAAAAGATCCTTTAATTACATGGAATCGGTTGTAAGTTACACGTTATATCTCTTCATAGTGTTTTTGCACTTGAAATTATTGTAGGCAACGCAGTTCTATATAGCATCTCACGAACGCTTATATTACATAGAGCACGTGAAAAACGGGCAGAATAAAAGAGCGCCAATTTATTAACAAGTTGATCAAGTTTTCGTATATTTGGCAAGCAGCTTCGTTAGTTAGTGAAGAGCCTTTGGGGCAAAACAGCACAATTCTTGTACATTTTGTGTAACAGTATGCAATATGTTTACTTTAATTCTTACATGCTATACAACCCAACACATTTGTCCAAAGAAAAAAAGTACATGGTCACAATTATTATAAGCAATATACACTTTAATATTATATTACTACTGAACAGTCTTCTCAATGACTTACCAAAAGTGCCACAAAATTAAATATAAGACATTTTAAAACAAGTAGGTTAAGATAACAAAACTATTTCACTATTGATATCTAAGGGCATAACCGGTAACAAGACAGGCATTCGTTCTGTATTACTGTCTGGAATGGCGGAGGATAAAAACAAATAAACAAAAACAAAACCAAACAAACACAACTAGAGTTCTGTATACTAGAATCATTATAAGATTACAGTCGGGCAATTAAATGTGAGTTTTTTTGCCTATGGTTCAATTAATTCAAATAAAAAAGCGATTGAATGAAACAACAAAAAGAGCTGTAACTTTCAAAGCAATATTGGTACCTTTAAAAGACTAATTGCAACGCCGATTGAAGACTCTTACATAAGCCGACGTTGTTAATGCGAGGTTACCATACTCACCACTACTTTGTGTTTTTTATTCCTCACGTGAGCCGGGGTCTGTTTGATTACTAATACACTAGTTTCTCGTCGAAGTTCAAAGTAAGAATCGCTTTCATTGTAAGCAATAAAATGACTGGGAAAAATAAAGAAGTATTTTTCATTGATTACTGCATAGTTATCACGCATTTCTAATTGCAGACGCCCGGGGCGTTTCTCTCTGTATACAAATGGAACTTTCAGAGTCCGCTTTTCTTGCCTTTGCTTTCATATCTGTTCTTTTTGGTGTTTGTTCTGCTTTTGTTTGTTTTTTGCTTTTTAGTATTTTCTTGTAACGGGGAAATAGCAGCATAAAAAGAATAGAAATAACCCTTTTATGGCTACAGTTATATGACTCACTGGTTAACACATTTGAGAAAATGTAACATTTTATGAGTCTGTACGTCATTTTATTTACTTAATTTGTGTAAAATATCGAGTTTGAATGTAGATTCACTCAATTGTTTAAGTTTTATGTCTGTAACTCTGTTTTCTTTGCATAACTCATTTTACACTCATATTTACATATTCCGCCTTTACCACATAAATAACTACCTAAACTATCAAATCCAGGAATGCCTGTAGCCAAGTGATCAAGTTTTCATGAAGCGAATCAGTCCTAGTGACAAAATGGAAGTACATGTACATAAGAACGGGCCGTATCCATTTTAAAACATCGTCGATTTTCAATTTCCGGTCCAATATCAACATATGTCGGAAATACCCAATAACATACGATTAGGTTAAAAACCTTTCAGAAATTGTCTTCCATCTAGATGCCACTTTTGTTGTTCTTATTTTTACACAAGGGACTCGGCCTTTAATAATTCATAGATGGGTATTTAATCAGCAGTGCAAGGAAAATCATAACATTTTTGAATAGTCTCTAAATTTTACTGGGTCATTCTTAGCGCAAATATTGACAACCTCATTTTCATTAACATTTCAAAAGAAGAAGACAATTACTAAGATTCTGTAAACACGACATAAAGATGTAATGCGTATTATACATTTTTAGTGATCTCTGTTTTTAATTTACGTAATCATTAGAGACTATCCGCATGATGATCTAACGAACGGTGTTACTGTTTTTTTCTCCTTCCATTAATTTTCTTCACAAACAATATCAAATGCATTCGAATTGAAATAGCTAATGATACGTAAACCCTTTTATCTTGAGCGCTTTGTATTTTTGTTTTCCCGTGGATCGAACCAGCCTGTCTCTGGGGACAACGTTTCAAAGAGATTTTTAAATGAAGTTGTATCAAAATGCCTCTAAACTAGGAATGTAATGTCAGAACAAAGTTCTTTTCCTCTCCACAAACGCCGTTTCATTAATCGAGTAATTAGAAAGGCAGGTCTGCGATGAAATGGCCACATTTATATTTTTGTGCATGTAAAACGTTACTTAGGATGTTGTTATGGATTTGCAATGGCGTAGCGGCTGTTGCCTCAGATACAGACATTTGTTTATTTATTAGTATTTTTCAACTAAAAAGGAAAAAAAGTACAACCGCCATTTTAGGACTACAATTTACCCTTGATACATGACAACTATTCTTCTCACCATCACTTTACTGTACACATATTATTTAAATTACAACATTAAATACACACTTTATATATTACAATAATTACTTCACACTTTATACGTTACAATTGTCACTTCACACTCTATACGTTACATTAATTACTTCACACTTTATACGTTACATTCATTACTTCACATCACACGTTGTACGTTACAGTCATTACTTCACACTTTAATACGTTATATTTATTACTTCACACTTTATACGTTAGAACCATCACTTCACACATTATACGTTATATTCATTACTTCACACTTTATACGTTACATTCATTACTTCACACTTTATACGTTACGTTCATTAAGTCACACTTTAAGGTCATCGCTACGTACATTCATCAGTCATCGCTTAAAACACTTTATACATTAAATTTAACGCACCACATCACGTCAATATATCTACGTTATAACTATGACATTGCTTCTTTATGACGTAATAATTTATTTTTCATTCATAAAGTTTTTGCAAATTATTTGTTGCCGTTATTAAATTTTCATCGGTAATTGCTAAGGCAGTGTTTTTTTTTCTGTATTTACACCAATTCTACGCAAACATTAAGGAGGCTGAATAGCGTTGCCTTTCATTTTCCTCCAACGTTCATCGTTAGTACGCGCTTGTGTGTTTTATTTCCTTTGATATTGTTAAATGTGCAGTCGTCTGTTAAACTATCAGATGTAATTTCAAGACCGCTTAATTAATCAGATTGGGTTTGTATAAATTCTTTATTAATTGGAATTCCTAAAAACCTATTAATGATTCCGCGGCGAGTACATGTTCACTTTTATGTATGTGCAAATGTGTATCCATTTTTTTGTTGTTTATCGATTTGGGATTTCTTTAAAAATTCATGCCCATTCACAATCATTGCAGTATAGGAGTTGCCACGAATTTTGCATGAATAATTAGGGCACGATATTATGCTGGTACCAAAATTACATTGTTTTATAAGCCAATTACATCTCGGTGGGCCTGTTCTGTTTTGGACTTAGACATGCTCTTTGTTAATTTAAATATTTCTTTTTAATCGGAATTCCACAGGATATAAATATACGTTCTTTTCCCACATGTAGTGCTTATTTACACGTATACACGTGTAAATTCACCATAATGATAAAATATACATGTATAGTGAAACCGCCATAATACTTAATCGGCCAGCTTTTCTAATGTACTTCTGTGTTACGTTTGACTGTTATGCAACTAGTCTTAGACCATTAAAAGATATACACCGGAAACACATTGTGAAACAAAGCTAAAACAAGTGCTACTAAGGTATTTTATTTTGAATTTGCACATTATACATGCTTACTGATATTTAAATGTACTTTACTTTTTCTTCAGATGGCAGTATGTTACAGTCAGTGCTCCGACAATCAGATCGAGGTTGGTTTTAACGAAACCGTCACGAAATGTTGCGACACGTGCAAAACCGGAACCGGTGTTAGCGTACAATGTTCACCAAGTGAAAATACTCAATGCCAAAAATGTATTCCAGGAAAAACGTATTCTGATAGTAATTCTTTTGAAGAACCTTGTAAACAGTGTTCAACATGTGGAAACAACTCTCATTTTATTCTTCACCCATGCAACGAAACACAAAACACAATATGTGTGTGTCCGGACGGGTCATATTATGACCCTGTCTCAGACCAATGTAAATATTGCTTCCTGTGTCATCCTGGAAGAGGTGCTGTGACCAAATGTGGTTCTACAAATAACACAGTTTGCGGAGAATGCGGTAATGGCACTTACTCAAACAAGCTGGATTCGTTTTCCAAATGCACGCCGTGTACCATATGTAAGGAAACCGAAGTGGCTCTGAAAGAGTGCACTCCGTCGGAAGACAGAATATGTTTTAGTAAGTATAAAAAATGCTATCAAATAATTTCTAGGGTACACAAAATGAGCCTATATCCAGGTTATTTCATTTTTCGTTATGATACTTTTTATACATATAAGACAATAAGCGGTGGCCGTCAGGTTTAGATTGTCCACTTAGACTCAAACGAGCAGCTTACTTAAGTTCAGATCCAAGTATTGCATCATACATCTAATTGCAAGTACAATTTTATACAATAATTCGTAGTAAAATGTCTCAATGTAAGTTGCTACGTAATAAGTGCTGCTATTTGACGCAGTTTAAAAAATACATCCGCAACCTAATTTAAATATTCGACTCCACAGTTACATTTAAAACAAAACCCTAAAAGATCAATAAAATGAGCAAGGACGTGAAGACGATCCACTATTGTTTGAAGCAACTCTGTAAGAAGGAAAGCCAAATATTTTGAAGGGCTTATTTATTTATCCTTCTTATGTTTTTAAAGTTAAAATAATATGCGTGTTTACGCTAAAATGAAAATAAACAAGGAGGAACGTTTTAAATTTGGCAAATCGTCTGTTTGTCTACCGAATCGAAACTGTTCAGTATCTCAAAGAGCATGTTAAGTTTTTATCTTCGAATAAAATCGTTTTGAAAGTTAACATCAGACGATGGGTAAGGTTAGATGTTAATAAGATATCGTCCTTTTATCTTTTCTTTTATTTCACGAAAAAAATATTATCGTTAAATTTCGGGTATTTCCGGATATATCCATTGTAAAATACCAAACCTCGATGCGCTATGACTTGTCAAAAGATATTCCTTTGAACAATGAAATTTGAATCGCAACCTCCGGCATTTCAAAGGCTGGCATATTAACTTGCATTAAAATCGGACATAAAAAAGGTCAGCGCGCTTTTAAAACTGCTTCACTGTTGGTATTTCTCTTTGTTTCATGAACATAAGGTTTTTATGCGCAAAAATTGCCACTCTGCCTTAAGTATGCATGAATACGTATTAGGTAACCTTTTAACACGCAAAGGATTTTAATAGGCTTTTATTTTCGTGTATTAAAGAATTAATGGCTAATAAAATGGTCGCACATAATAGGAATAACACGAATTTTATTACCGCGGAAGGATCTCCGGGCATTAAAGGAACAAAATAGTTCCAGCTTTGAACGATTCGCACCCAAATTTTATTGCACGATTTCAATAATATTGGTTTAATGCTATGGTGTCATATGAAAATTAAATATTTGTAACCTGGGGTTATAATAAAATTACATAAGTTTCCCCTAGTACAGTGAGACACAGATTTTTAATGTATTTAATTGGGCTGCTTGTAATAATTTTGTTGATACCTTTGACATAAATTGGTAAATTTACTCAAGAAATAATCACACATGTAGAATATTGGTCAGTCTCTATATAGAATTGACCCGAATCGCGCAACACGTGTTGAAAGTCACTTGCATACGGCTGAACAACGTGCATTTTCTGCTACATATAAATAACTATATTAAGTAACTGTTACAAACACGTTTAAATCAAGTCATTTTAAGGTCTGGGTGCTTTATATTCAATAATGTATAGTTCAAACTGACGCATTTAAAGCAGCGTGCCTCCAGATTCATGTTAAATTTCATGAAATGAGCCGCGTCACGACAAAACCAACGTAATGCGTTTGCGACCAGCACGGATCCAGACCAGCCTGCGCATCCGCGCAGTCTGATCAGGATCCATGCTGTTCGCTATCAGTTCCTTTACTTGCTATAGGGTTTGTAAGCGAACAGCATGGATCCTGATCAGACTGCGCTGATTCGCAGGCTGGTCTGGATCCATGCTGGTCGCAAACCCATTATGTTGGTTTTGTCGTGACGCGGCTCAAATGTTTTAGATGTATTAGACAGTACCATATTGTCAATGAACAAAAAAAGTAAGTTACCTATTGCAAAAGACACTGAAGATCTACGAAATTACCAAACGTAGGTCAGAATATACAAAAATAGCCATTACTGCATATGCGTTAGTCACGTGGTAGAAATATTGTGATAAATACTGCAAAATCAGTCATTCATTGCATAATGAATACATGTAAATTATTTCTTCTCATTTTTCTCAAGGATGATTTCCTTGATATATTTTGACTCATCTGGAGGCATGTAGCTTTAATTTTTGTATTCTGTTTTAACTATTAATAAATAACTGTACTGCACAGGGTTTCAGTACAAAAATAAATATGGAATCAAATCGCTTTGAAGTCTCATCATTTACTTATTACACGGTACTTCATTAATTAATATTTAAAAAATTCAGATCTATAAATAAATTAAACACTTATAGACTCAAGTTTACCGAATAGACTTTATAGAGGGGGAAATCTTCATTAGCAAGTAATTGTAAATCTCCCATCTATTTGTCTATGGAAGTCAAAATACTATATTATTTACATTTTGCTTCTGTTTATGACAATTTATTTCACATTCAGTGCTATTTTCTTCACGTAATAAGCATCTAACATGCTCTTAAACCGTTATTTAAACGTTTTTAAAACTCATATTTGCCCTTAATTAATAAAGAACGAAAAATATTTTGAATATTTTAGCGTTTGAGGTGAAATATGCCTTTAACTCTAAATGAGCCGCGTCATGACAAAACCAACATTATGGCATCCGCGCAGTCTGATCAGGATCCATGTTGTTCGCTATCAGTTTCTCTACTTGTTATAGGGTTTGTAAGCGAACGGCATGGATCCTGATCAGACTGCGCGGATGCGCAGGCTGGTCTGGATCCATGCTGGTCGCAAACCCATTATGTTGGTTTTGTCGTGACGCGGCTCAAATATTGAAGAACGTTCTTTATAACCTCTATCCATAAGAGTTTGCTGGTGACGAAAGTTTTAAAGGACCATACATCCTTATTTGTGTAAATTTTAATCTGGGTTATATTCTGTCCCAATTTTGATGAAAAATGAAATAAATTTCTTAAAAATAAATATAAAATAATGTTGTCAAGCGTACAAACAGTTTGTTCTATTAACTTATTCTAAGGCACTGAGGTGACCTTTAGCTTGTAAAAAAGAAATAAAAAAATCTCTAACACCTTTAGTTACCTTGGAGGGGGTGGGGGGAGAGGGGGATATTGAATCATGTAACATTTTACAGAAGATTTCAATATATCACATTGATAGGGAAGATTGATACTTTCCTTAAAACTATACATGTATATTTATACATTATATTTACGCGACTTGAAACTAACCGCTTTGAATAACGTGCAACTAATTATCTTAGGTTTTCGTTTTCACACTGGATCGATTTATTTACTTTCTATAAAATCCTCTCATGGAATTGAGACAATAACCGTATTGTATATTGATTCCTCGTCGAAAAAGCCACAAAAACAGCTTCAAAGTAACCGTTTTAAACAACCTGGCTTTTGTATTTATTTGTTAGGCAAGGAATGAAAGCAATCGCTCGCGTGTTTCAGAGTAATGCAGCTTTTGTGTAAATATATTCTGCAAGACTCAACATCTGTGCTTCTCTTACCATGAAAGAATGAAAAGACGTAAAAATAACATGAAACAGTGTGTCTGTCTCGAACAAATTCATGTAAAGTTTATTTTTGTTTCCTTTTTTCTTCTTTTTTTTTCATCTGTTTTTATTCTTTATAGATTATGTAACAGTTCTTTGCTTTTCGTCGACATAAAGGCCATATTCTTTAGAGCGGCGCGCCACTAGATGATAATAAATTGATAAAAAAATAAGAAAGGAAATATATCATTTAATATATAGGATACGAACAAAAATAAACAGAATTTATTATATTTTATTATGAGTTATAAACGAATAAAGAAATTAGTATACATACTTTGGGGATGGGGGGGGGGGGGTGGGTACATCCCATCATTTTTATACTCATTACATCATTTTTTTCAATTTTCATCTATTTAGTTTGAATCATGAAAAACTATTGTCTTTTTTCTATGAATAATTTTATGTATGTTTGTACGTACGTATACTGGTCTGTCCACTTACCCTCTGTCATATGGAAGCGGTAAACGTTTGATATTAATTAAAGCAAATTTAAGAAACAATATTTATCCATTCTAATCACCCATTGATTTGTTTTAACCATAAGTGCTCGAATATTGATGCTCAGTTGCGCAACTGACAATCATACATTTTTAAAATCTATACAGGTATAATTGCTTCTTGAAGATATGTGTAAAGTGTGAGAAAATCTGTAAACCATTTCAACTTTTTTTATTTAATTTAAATAGATCTTTCTACGTGCGAAAGGTTACTGTTACGGAGACCTTACATACGGTGCATTGCGGTATTGATTTATTATATATAATCAACCTGTTAAATGGTGTCGTCGTTTTATAAATACCTCTCTATTGTCTTTAAATATCGAGGAAAAAACATATTTAGTTCTAAAGGTTCGTTCTCCATTCCGTATAATTTATAGAAAAGGAGACCAGTTAACAGTTCCAATTGCGAAAGACTATCGATAAAACCACGCCGGCACTTTCTTTGATGAAAGCTGCCTTAATTGCTTTCCTGCATTCAAAGAACATGTAAATTGAAGATCAAAGGAACTACTGTCGCCGCCGAAGAGAAAGGAGAATTAAGTAAACAGAGATTTCATTCTGATATAAAGATATATAGCATGTCACGGACACGGACGCAATCTGAGCAATTCCTTTGGCTTATTAGAAATGGACGTACATTATTCACGACAGTAAATTTATCATTCGATGCGTTTTAACCGCCATTTTCCGTAAGTCACGTGATTTCACCGGAAGTCCGTCGCAGACGTGACAACGCTGTTTCCTATATGGAACAAACGTTTAATCTTATCTTTTCGTGTTCATTTTGAATGTCATTTACTTAGCATGCTTATAGACTTTTACGATTTTAATTAAGCTTGTAAGTCATTAACGTATTATTTGCGTCTATGACTTATTCTCCGTGTTTGGAATTTCCAAAGTAATCCGCTATATGTGTATTAAAGCTGTCTGATATAGAGTCTCAATTTTGCTTGCCATATTTTTAAAATGTAATTTTCTTCAAATTTTAAGGTTAAAAAGATAGACTTTTAAGATGACGTCAACAATATAATTAGTCTATTCCTTAATCGGTCTATTCGGAAACATACTGATCCTATAGAACTTCAGAGTAGTTCACCTTTGCTTGTTGTATTTGAATTCTTTAAGACATCTGTGATGTTAGTTTTTTGAAAGGTCATTGGTTATACAAAGAGGTCCGCACATGTCATGCAAGGATGGTCGTCCTTACCATTTTCGAACCATAAGAGGGCCGCCATTACGACAATATGACAATATCACAACAACAACAACAAAACAACAACAACAACATATTATTTTTATATGCAATTGATGCGTGTCTTCATTGTAGTTATTCACAGAAAAAAATGAAACTTGGCGTATTTTTCCCCTGTAATTTAAAGAAGAAAGAAATCTGTATTAGAATTTAATTTTGTTTGATTAACAGCTACAGATCAAAGGGCCTATGCAATCAATCGTATTTTAGCTGCGCAATTAATATTGTTCAGTACACAGACATATATCAAATAGAGATCGATTTTCCCCCCTTTAATGTACAATAAAGGATATAGTCTTTGTTTTAAGATGTAACACATGCAAGGTTATATAAAACATTGAATGTAATGACCAAATAATCCATATAAGTACTTTACATGTATTTTTGTGGCAAAGCGGAAAAGACCTTCTCTTAATATTTTCTACAATATTCGGAAGTAACAACCACAACAAAATTAACAACAACAAAAGCAGCAGCAACAACAATTAAGCTGAGGAAACAACAATAATATTATTATTATTAACAACAACAACAAGAACAACAAAAATAACAACAACAACAAGAACAACAAAAATAACAACAACAACGAAAACAACATATTTGGCTTTGGAAACAACAGCAGCATTTACAGCAGCAGCAGCAACATGCAACAACAACAACAACAACAACAACAATTAAGCTGAGGCAGATTAATATGTTATATAATCCTGAACCAATTAACACCTAAGTGTACTGTATCAAAACACATCCTCGATTACACAGTTACCTAGGTTTTCTTAATATCCTGAAAAATTCCTTCAGCGCAAATTTTGACTTCAAAGGACGCTTGGATCTGGAAAACACATTACAAATCAAAGCGAGGCCTCATCATGTATTCCGTTAGAAGCTATTGCTGTGTAATATATGAATTATTAATTTTTTTTATTTTTTTTTCTTACGCCCAGAAATAATACAAGCGCGGATCATAGAGATGTAAAAAAATCTTGTTGGTCACATATTGTACAAGTATGCACGGGTTTCCTACAACTTCAAAAGCTCGTGCATAGAGATGTAAAAAAATCTTGTTGGTCACATATTGTATAAATATATGCACGGGTTTCCTAAAACTTTAAAAGCTCGTGCATAGAGATGTAAAAAATCTTGTTGGTCACATATTGTACAAGTATGCACGGGTTTCCTACAACTTCAAAAGCTCGTGCATAGAGATGTAAAACATCTTGTTGGTCACATATTGTACAAGTATGCACGGGTTTCCTACAACTTCAAAAGCTCGTGCATAGAGATGTAAAACATCTTGTTGGTCACATATTGTACAAGTATGCACGGGTTTCCTACAACTTCAAAAGCTCGTGCATAGAGATGTAAAAAAATCTTGTTGGTCACATATTGTATAAATATATGCACGTGTTTCCTACAACTTCAAAAGCTCGTGCATAGAGATGTAAAAAAATCTTGTTGGTCACATATTGTACAAGTATGCACGGGTTTCCTACAACTTCAAAAGCTCGTGCGTCACGAATGTTTTGCCATATCAAACCTTTTTTTTTATTTCACATTATTACCATTTATTTTCAATTTTATTAGCCAGTCTGATTATTATGTAGTTATAATGTTTTTCAAATCCGTGTATTGATACTATTTTTCAAACTGTGTATTTTGTCAATTGATCCGTACTTATTTATTAATGGAACACGTGAGCGTTTCGAAAATTACGTGTTCGATCCCCGCAAATCTAGCTTAAATAACTAAACGTTTTTTTGACGAAGTGACCTATATTAACAAACCGAGGTCCCGTTTACCGTTGTTGTACTCCTTCCATGCTTAAAGAAACCAGTTGGGAATGGAATATTTCTTTTCTGAACCAGTTGTACTAGCATTATGAACAGTTTCGGAATAATTTTCAACCGGCAACTAAGAATAAACGTCATAGATTTCACGTGAGCGTTCCTTTAGCTTATATTAGAAGCCATTACATGACGTTATTGATGTCTTAATTCAAGAGGGTCACGTGATTAATGTTCTTTATTTGCGTATGAAAGCCTGTACGTAAAGCTAAAAAAACGTTTCGTCGCATGTAAATGTAAAGTTTTAATATAAATGGGCTAAAATTCCCCTCCCTGGTTCCCATATATTCACTGTATATGTGAAAGCAACTTTGATTACAGCTACATGTATGTAAATAGGCATAAGGTAAACTACTTCCGACGTTACTTTCACATATTAGTAAATGAATGTAAAAAGTAAAAAAAAGTTATACAATACATGTAGGTAATTTATTTATGATGATTCATTTGTTGGTAACTACGGAGAGAGAGAGATATATTCAAAACTTTTTTTATCATATAATATTTTGAGAAAATAATTGTTCATCTATAGATCAGAGAAGCGCGTTAGCCGCTGATATGTTCACCTTTCAACAAGGATGATTAGCGCGTATTTTCAGATGAGTTTTACAGATTATCGCGCTGATGTATGAATTAATTGTCGGTTTTTGCAGTTTACTTTGTAATATTCAAAACATGTTTTCCTCGCTTGATAGACAGAAAAATAGATTAATTATAAACCTTGATTTTTCCCCGTATACAAGGAGACAGGTGTATGCCTGTTACACACTATCGTATAGTCCCGAGGCACGGTTTCGGTGTTTTAAGGTAGCAGCACACGTTCAGTCTGAATCCTTCATTTAATTAAGGTGTCTGCTAAAAATAATCGATAAATTTTAGAGCTGGGTGACAAGAGACTTGTCCGTGTTCAATAAATGTACCTCAAATAGCAATTTTTCGATCCTTTTCGTAAAATTTCCGATAAAATCAAATAAAAATACTATTCAAAGATAGGTTATCGGCTGAAAATCTCACTAGAATCACAAGGGGGATAAATCTGTTTCGAATTTAAGTCGTATTTTACAATTTATTCAAGGGCCACGTCAAGAATATTTTTTTGTAAATTCTAAAAATATTTTCAGGTATGCATGCAGGGGGAGTTGAACCAAGGTACAACAGCTCCACGCCGATTGTTTACACGCACGACGATGACGACGATGGTGACGTCATTCCAATTTATTGTTCCGTCCTTGGCTTAGTCGTGGTTGGTCTCCTTTGTTACGTAGTCATCAAACACTGGCGAAGAATGCGTGCGAAACGACGCCACAAAGCACCGTGCAGTCACGAGGACGTAGAATACTCCAAGGCATCTGGTGGTGACAGCGGTATATTTGTAGATAACGAGTCGCCAAAAAATTATTCGTGTAAGTACACTTTAGACACTTGACACAAGTAATGCTTAATATATCCCTTTTAATAAATTGATTTACACGTGCATAGTCTGCTTGCACGATTACGTTTCTTTAACTGAACTAGACAGGGGAAGTAACTGCAGTGGTGACTTCCAAGTGTGTACTCGGTATTTTCCGGTCAGTTTTCGGCGTTCTACGTACGTTATAGGAATAAATGTATTTCCGTATGAGGACGGGGACGCCGAAAGCAAAAAGGAAAAACGTAAACGAACGGAAAAGAATGGTTTTATTACATGAGTGAAAGAATCACTAAATAAATGTAAAAAAATGTTGCATAAATGAAATAACAAGTATCCTCTGAATAAATCTGCCCGTTTCACATTAATTTTAGCACCTGAATATTAATATAATAAAACAATAAAACACATTAACTTAGATTGTAATCGACAAGAACCGACAACTCTGTATGAATGCCAAAATTGTTATTCTTTCTCGATAGTAACAAAAAGCAACAACTCTAGATTGATAAATTTTCTATGGAGGCCAACAAAAAGAATTTTATACTGTACATGCATATATACATGGCAAAAAGGTAGTAAATTATTTAAGCATTTATACATGCATATATACGCAATTAATTAGGATTTTTATTCCTGCAATAATTCGCGTGCTCTTTGCTTCGTTGCATTGCTTCTTTTTATCTGAGGGGTTAATATTGACGAAAGTCGGTGCACTTACCGCACGTGCACCTGCGTTAATGCGCACGAAAAGAAAAGAGTGCACAGTAATTTTCTTTGAAAATATTGTTTATGATCTTGTTTGAGATATTCTTTGTGAATAAAATAAATAAGATAACATTACAGTAGCTTATATCATAGTCTACCTTATAATTATCCATTTAATCAACAAGAGGTCTAATTCTTTGTATTCGTACGAGCTTGCTTGTTTGAAAGAAATGTAACCGTGAAAAAAGTATTACCAGTCATAGCTTTAATTTCAAACCAAAAGAACATTAATTAATGGATAAGAAATCGATCCTTTGTATAAATAGTATTTATAACTTCCATAGGTCAACAAAATCTGACTGATTTATATCGACTGCACGCAAATAACGTGCAAGAGTCGCTAAATGGACATTGATGTCTTCATGTCGCCCAGCTGTAATACCATTAAAGGCACATTAAGTTTTAGAAACGAATGATTTTTCATTCTTTAGAAAAGACAAACATGGGTTTTACAGCGAGAAAATAATAGTTTAAGAGCATGTTAGATGTTTATCTTATAAAAAAAAAAGTAGCGCGGATTGTGAAATTATTTGTTATAAAAGTAACAAAATGTTAAACGAAGTTGTATATTGACTTCCATACTAAACCACTTTAAGTGTGTCAATTGATATTGCCAAAGAGCAATAGAAGTAAAAGGTGGTTGGGGTAATTTGCCAATGAGTTACTTTTTTAAAACTATAATAGGACACCCCCACCCCCAAAAAGGGCTTTCGAAAAATAAATTCCTTTCTGAGGCATAATGCGTCTTTAAGAATAAATTAAAGAATATCCTTTTGCAGAATTTCTATACTTTTCTGTATAGGAAATACATGTTTTTTCAATATTTGCATAATAAAAGTACAATGTATTTAAAAAGTAGTAACTAGTAAATCAAGTAGGAAATTGAATGACGTTTTAATTGTGATGTTATTATTTACGTACAATCCTTTGATTTATGACAAATTATTTCATTAATTACTTATATTTTCTTGAAATAATGCGAATTTTAAATAGGGTTGACATAGAGTATGGCGGTGAGCTAACTGGATTTAAAGCAGCATGCCTGGTAGAAATATTGTGATAAATACTGCATAACCAGTCATATATCGCAAATTAACACTTAATTATTACCTGAATCTTTACTTTTCTTAAAATCTTATTACATTTTTCTTAAGTCTGAATGTTTTATAGTATTTTGTTCATTTGGAGGCATGCGGCTTTAACTGACCATGCCAGGTAGTAAATTGTTGAAGAAAATAAGAAAGCTTCAACCTTTTTACCTCTCATAGTGTTGCATTTCTTATATGTAAATAATACTAGTACATAAATGAGTATTAGAATACCATTAAGTGCTCTATAAAAACTAAAATTGTTGAGTCAGCAAAATAAAAAAATGATCAAATTAATTGAAATTATACATAAATCCTTTAATATATTAAACAAAATAAATTTTAAGTTAATAAGTTAACTCGTAAAAAAAGTCAAGGGACTGTGTGTATGCGTGTGTGGGGGATGTTGGAGGAGGACGGGGTTAGATTCAAACCCCTGTGATACTATTGAATGTGATTCACGTTCGAAAATAGGCTGTTCCTTTTGACATTGATTATTTGAATTATACATGTAGCCTCTTTCTGATAAGTCTTCGATATTCGTGTAAACGTAAGGGAATATGACTATCATAAAATACTGTTTAATGAACCTAGTAATTATTTTTACAGAATGCGTACTCGAAAATATCCGGCCCGAAAATTCCGACAAAATATATGATATCCATCTGGGACAAGAATAGATAATTTTCATCTGAGTTAAACGGTAATTTCAGGAAGAAAAAAACAAAGTAGATAATGCAAGATATTTTTGTGATTTCAAACTCATAGAAATAGTTTTTTTCCTTTTATCATTCGTATACATAGTAACACATGGAAGTTAAACTTTTTTTTTCGTTGAATGGGTCTATTTCTGAAAGAAATATAATTAAAAGCAATGAAAACGCCATATGCTTGCAAGTGATATCGATTGATATTTGTTTACTAAGAGTGAAAATACGCAATATATCTCATTGAAATTGTAATGAGACAATAGCGAAATGGAAATATCAAATGAATCGAAAGCGATGTGAGTAAAATGAAGTGAGAAATATAGCATATATCTCACTGCTAATCACTAGCAAAATTAAAAGATGCAGACGTATCATGAGCAACGTTTACTAAACTCAAGCCACATATATACGTAATTAGATCCTTGCAACTGCTTAATTTGTATAATTGATTTGCCCTGCTTTGAAGTTGGAACAGTCTTTTTTTAATTTTTAAGGGCTTTCAATATAAAAATACAAATTCCAGTTTATAACCATGATATTTATAAATCCCGGTCAGACTGTACGTGCAGAATAGACTGGCTCTATATTGGCGGCAAATGTTTATCATTTCCGGTTCCGTTCGGGTAATGTGTAATATATATCCAAGTAAGCCATGACAATATCTTTTTTTGTAAAATTGATTTTTTTCCCTTTCGATTTTGCAATGTTCTCACTGTGTTCAAAGGACTGAACTGATATTTTAGATTGTCGTAAATACCGAAAATTATAATATTTAAAATAAATGGGCAGGGTAATTGAAAAAAGGGAAGGAGCGTTTGAAACATAAAAGGATATATTAAGCGAACTTAATTTTTTCAAATTAAGTCGCTTTACGAGAATTTTCATTTATTAATTCTCTTTCAACATGACTCCACACAATTTAAGTATTTACTTACAAGTTAGTAATGCCTCATTTACTAAAGGAAAACATAAACTTTATTACTAGTTTCTGGTTGAATAAAGATATACGCAACGATCCATCCATAATTTCATAAATGTAATTTTTTCGGGAAAAGAAGACTCGTTTGCCTAATTAAGTCCTCGTATGTTCAAAGACATACACCGTCTTTCATTTCTTTGTATTCACGAAATTAAATCGCAATTTAAGATGAAGGAAAGTTGTGAGGCTGAAATAATGCGCAAATCAACTGATAAATTAAAGGGACTCCGTTGAGGTCCAAAAGTCTAAAAACATAAAATTTGAATTTCTTACATAGCTCAACCTGGGCACTTAAAACAGAAAGATATGCAACAGATAATTCATAAAAATATTCAGAAATGAATTGAAAACCTATTTTTGTGTTATTCTTAGCCCGATTTGAGAGAAAAGCGTCGCATTTATGTCGAAAAATTATTTGTAGTCCCGGCATTTAAAATGAAAAACTGCGGACGAGTCCCTTTAATTTTTAGTTCCTTCTCTGTTTAAGAAGATAAACAAGGTGCCTATATCATGTGACATTTTGTGGTCTGCATGGGGCAGAAAACCGACACAAAAGTCCGTTTATTTAAGAGATAATGTATTTTAAGCAGAATATGGGAAGTATTGAAGTGACATTTGATTATAGGCTTTTGCCATTAAATGCCCTTGCGCATATATTTTAATTTCATCTTTTTTTTCAAAATTAAGCCTTCCGTGTTCTATTCACATAATTAAATATACACATGAAATTGTGAAAAAAAAATCTGTATGCAGTTGCCTTTTATGTCAACTTTCTAGTCACTTTTTTTAATTTAAATTTAGTTTATACGATTTTAGACTTTTTGCCCAAAGTCATTTCATTTTGTGTCAGATTTACGACGTAGGCGCCAATATAAAAGTCATTTAACATCAACCATAAATACTCCTTGACCACAAACACAACATTTTTTATAGATCAATTTGATGAAAAAAGGCCACCACCACTAAAAGGTGTACGAAAGTTAAAACCACTGACCCAAAGATAATTAAAAGGGAAAAAGAAAATGAAAGAAAATGAAAAAACTGACACAAAATCGTGAAAAGGGACGGGCAACCAATTTAACATTATTAGACTTTATATTAGTGTTTTATCTTTAAAATGGCCTCGGTAATTGTGAGATATATCATTTTAATGTATATTGACGAACGCATTAAAAAGATAACCACTTACAATGTGAAGATTCACATATGATTCATATATGGGTGACCAACCATCAATACATATATTTTTTGTCAGTGAATTTATCATTAAATCTTGCTATCTGTGTAGAGAAAAGTATACAGCTTATTTACTTTTTCTCAATCGTTTTAATTGATCTCATACCTAATCGATCACAGATCAATCATATCTAGTAATTATTTGGTAATGAAACACCATGCGGGAACCTTCGTCTTTACATCTCCAACCTGCTTCACCATTCCCAGCCGATATATCCCGAAATCTTGATTGTTTTTATCGTCTAACAGATACGGGCAATCTGTCGTATGTTTATAACCGGACGAAAAAGAAGACAACTCTAGACAACTCTAGACAGAAATACGATAACATCAGTAATAACTTTTTAAAAAAATCATTTTTCATATTTAAAAAAAATATAATTATAAATTTTGACGCTCCCTCTCCCTCTCTTTGCAGATTGCCTTACATCACGTGTCCGAGATCTTCCAATATCTAAACGAACAGAGCTTGAAAAGATTCTATCTTCACCACAGTCAGATAGTTGGAAAATGCTGGCTAAAGAACTTGGTAAGTAAAGATTAAGAGATATGTGTATGTAGGAACTGCAAAATACTGCAAAATATTAAAGGGACTCTACTGAGGGTTTTTTGACATGCTGGGACTGAAAATATTGTTTTCCAGATAAATGTACCATTTTTGATAAAGGTTTAGACCACTTATCTTTGTGCAAATTCAAATATCATTCGCGCACTTCGTTTTTCCAAAATAATTATTCAAATTGTAAAAAATGACCCAAAATGAAAAGCGTTTAAACGCTTTTCACTCAAATCGGGCTAAGAAAAGCATAGAAATACGATTTTTAATTTATTTCAAAGTTTATTTCTTTACTATCTTTGCATATATTTATGTTTAAAGTGCCCCATCTCATTTATGTAAGACATTCAAATGTTATGTTTTAGGCTTTTAAACTTCAGTGGAGTCCCTTTAACCTGGAAACACAAGATTTTTTTATATTTAACATAAAAATGAAAATAGTAGCAGATGACTTGTTTGATAGACCAATATCTTGACATATTTCCTGATAATGTTAGAAATTATAAACATATAAAATTTTAAAGGAAACCATAAAGCTCCATGAGGTATTTAATATGAAGGGAAATAATTCGTGTACTTGCGTTACGTTATTCCTGTACAAGTTGTTCCACATGATTTCTAATGGCAAGCCAGCCAACGCTACTGTGCCCAAATTGTTGTCTGCTCAGTATAATTACATTAGTATTTTGATATTATAACGTTTCACAAATGCCCTTTTCATCAATATACTGATATTTTTATCTCGTGGAACCATTTGTATATGAGAGAAAATGATAGTTTCTTAACTTTTTAATCCTACTTCCGAATTGTTTTTTTTTCAAAATTGAAAGATATACTATGCTCAGATTTGATATTAAAAATTATTGATAATTGCTACACAGCCTCTTTGTAAGTATAAAATAAACATGTTTTGACTTCACACAAAGTAGATATGTTATGTTTAAAATACTACACACAATGTGATAACAATACTGGCACTTTTTTTAATGAAATGACCAACTCTTTACTTGTCCCGTAATAGGGAACGCAGCTTCCCATACATAGTTTATTCATTCTTTTATTTAGATTAGACATATTGCGAAAGAATGTCATAGATTTTAATAAATAACTGTGATTAAAATATTTTCCTTAAGAATGAGCATAGTATGTCTTTAAAAGTCGTGGTATGTTTATATTTATGGCTGCAGCTAAAAACTATCGTCCTTAAGAGAAGACAACACATATTCGTTATATATTGGTGAATTTACTATCGATTGTGTAAATTTAATACATTTTCCTCATATATTTTTCCTTTCATTCAGGTTACAGTAACAAAAGAATGGAACAGTTTGAATCTAAAAAGAAAAATGACACAAACAGTAGTTTTAAACACATGCTACATGACTGGGAGCGCAGAGATATTGCTATAGTCAGCCATCTTTTACAGTGCTTACGTAACATTGGGCGCGAGGACGCCGCGCGGATACTATATTTAGACTCCACAGAGGGGAGAACACAACTTTTGGTCAAACAACAACAACAAAATCATGTTGTGTGACTACACTAAAGGCCTTCATATTTTTATTATGTTGATAAAATCAACATGATATCTGTAGATCTCTATGTTATATTGTGACTGGCTCGGCATTGATTGAACTCCGAATCTTTTTATACAAAAAGAAGGCATGATCTGCCATGTTGGATTTTAATGATCTATTTATAGAAATGTGACGTAATTAACTTCCGGTCAAAGTTAAGAAAAATGCCGGATGTTTAGTACTGTCAAAGTGATTGTGATAGTGAAGTGTAGATATTAAGAAGTGCTTTTTCATTTAATGAAAAATGTTCTTTCATGTTTTATGTTTGACGCTGATGGCGCTGAACTAATGACGTCAGAGGAGACAAAAATGTTTGATGAACGCCGTTATGATTGTTTAATCTCATTTATCATGACTTTATAATATTGCTCATTTTGTTATTTTCTACATGATTAATCAACTCAAATAACAAGTTGGAGATTATCATTCTATTTTTTATTTAGCATGTATATATATATATACATGTACAACAGTGCATAATTAAACACTTTTCTGAAATCCATGGATCTCGTGAAATCGTTTGACGAATTTGGGCGAGCTACTCAGATAGTTTTCTTAAACTGTGTCTAGTTTTTTTAAAGTTGTATCCACTTATGTCTTTCAGGTATTAAACTGTTAATAGTAGAAATGAAGTATGCCTTGTTAAAATGACCACAGTAGATGTCATACTCGTCTGTTCGTAACTATGCAGTGAATCTATTTATAGATTCTACTGTCTGTATCAAACTTTGTTAATTCGAACACTGTTAAAGCGAATTCTTGTTTATTACGAACACAGTTTTACTTCTCGATAAATATATACAATTTGTTTAGTGTCCGATGATAAAAATCGTTCCAAAAAAAATTATAATAGGATAATACATAACATGCCATGGGGTAATTAAAGGCCCATTATGCCCTAGAAATGCTTTTATGGTGCGAAATATTTTTTTTATTTTTTTTGTATCCTGTAAAAGATTCCAAAATGATACTAATTGGCCAAATACCTGTACCATCTTTAATGTCTGTTTCTTTCTAGCAATGAGATTAAGTGTTTTGTATAGAAGTCAAAATAGAGATCTACTACTTTGTTTACATTTTGCTACTTTTATAACAAATATTGTTACATTCAGCTCTACTTTCTTCAGATGATAAGCATCTTACAGACATAAAACCATTATTTAAATGTTATAAAACTATTGTTTTTACCTTTTCTAAAGGAAGTAAAATATTATTTGTTTCTGAGGGACAATATGCCTTTAACATACAGCAATCAGGTGTTTCTAAAAGAAGTAGATATATACATAATGCAAATTAAGTGGACATTAAATTTTTCTACATATGTTTAGCTAATACAGTTCAAGAAATCCATTGACTTTTTTTTCTAGATTTTATATTGTAAGTTAATCATAAACGAAATATTACCATTATGTACAAATTTGTTTTTGTTTCTTTAATTTTCATATTTTTCTGTGATAGTGTGTAAGATTTTATTATAATAATAACATCACTTCAAAGTTTTTGAAGGTGGTTATTATTTAATTCTTAAATTGGGCAAAATGTAGACGTCCGGTTTAGTCTCAATTACAAATCCCTTCTCTACATTCTCTACAGATGGAACCGGAAGTGAGAAGTCGTTGCTATCAGTAATGAGCAAGCCCAGTTTGTGCGTTCGTGTTTACACTGTTGGTAGCATATTTTCTTCTTATTAAAAATGGACTGATCCAAATTCAAAGCAGGGCAAATCCATTACAAAAAAATCAGCAGCTTTAAGGGTTAATTTACCACCGTGCTGCTCAGCGTAGTTCTATTAAGCTATAGATGTAGGAAGCCATTAGAGGTATTTGCTCCCTACCCTAAAACTAATGCGCAGGGAGATAACTCATATAAAATTATGTTTGTGGATACATAGGTTGTTTCCCTTGATTTTTTTTTAATTGCACGTGCAAGTTACGATTCCATCTATGAAGAATGTGTATTCTTGCTCTTTTTTTCTAATTGCAATATATGTACATGTCAACTTTGTTATGTATTTTATAAAATATTATACTTGCCATTTTCTGTTTCATTAAAAAAATAAAAATAGATAAAAAATAACATTTCTTGCTCTTGTCTTTTTTTTTTTTTTTTTTTTTTTGAAAGGCAGTCTGGTAAATCTACTAGCCGTTTTTTTCTATTTGTTTAACGGTTTATTTAGGACTCGGCTGGTATTAAGCAGGGTTGCGTTTCATAGAAAGTCCTAAGTCTGAATTCAGTTTTTCAAAAAATGACACAATTTTGGAATGCAAAGAAAATGCTTAGTTTATGACTCCTTTGTTATGACTCTTTTAGTGTCAAGCAATACAAATGAACATTCACACATTGCGGATTAAAGAAAGGGCCTACCATTTTATTTTCATAGGAAGTTGAATTAAAAAAATAATAGTCTTTGACATAAAGTAATGTTTATTGAAACGATGTTGGGCTAGTCCTCAAGTTTGGCTAAGCTTAAATTATGAAACATAGCTAGCCTAGCTTTCTTGAATCATTTTCAACAGTTCAATAAAATCCATGCCGCATTATGACTGAACTCGTTAAAGAACTGCTTCTTCAGATTTATGTCAAAGTAATGATCTCTGCATACGAATTAAATAATACTTCTATTTGTAACGTCGCTTTTCATTGCATAATAGTGACGTTTATATAGTTTTTCTTAAAATACTGCACTTTTAAAACGCAAATTTTCATTGGACAATCGTAACGTTTATATTATTAGTTATAAAGATTGTTGACAGGTTATATGGCCCTATATAAACGGCTATTTGTAAATATAACCCGAGACGTTAGGCGAGGGTTATATTGCAAACAGACGTTTATATACTAAGGGAAAAATAACCGGTCAACAATCTTTATAACGAATTTATAATACAGCAAGCATCATTATTTAGAAAAAAGTAAGATTTCTTCATGGATCGACAGAAGACGTGTCACGATTATCCAATGAAAAGCGACGTTACAAACGTGCAGTATTATAAAGTTATATGTACGACTGCTGTCAATTTTCTAAGAAATCTCTTTTTTTTTCTAAAAAAAAAGGAAGTTTGCTGAATTATAAATTCGTTGTAAATATTTGTCACGGTTCAAAACTGTTCACTATTTGGGAGAGATAATGTGTAAGCGGACGGATAGCTCAATCTGAGGGTTCCGGGTTTGAGTCCCGGTCAAGCAGCACATTTTTCTCACCCTGTGACATTTGGCGCCCAACGGGGGACCGTGATGGTATAAGCTCCGAGTCCAATTTCACATTCGAGGACGAATTTCAATCCAGCGGGGGAGTATGTCACGATTCAGACCTGTTCACTATTTGTTCATTTCACAAAATGTATAAGCGGCCGGATAGCTCAGTCGGTACGGTATTACGATGGTCCGGTCAGACTGCACATTTTTCTCACCCTCTGACATATTCCTGACAGGTTATATTGACCGTATATAAACGGTTGTTTGCAATATAACCCTCGCTTAGCGACTCGGGTTTTATTTCCAAACAGCCGTTTTAAAGGGCCATATAACCTGTCAAAAATCTTTATAACTAATAATATAACAGTAAGAGTTAAACGTTTATAGTTTATATAGGATTTATAAAGGCATGCCTTCGAATTCTATTTATAGGACTTGACATAATTATTCTAATATACTCTTCTAATGATTGAATAAAGCAGACAATTAACAACCGATGGGAAGTAATAAGGTAAAGTCAGTGGTATCAGTTCTCATTGAATTATGTCACAAGGAAAATGCTCCCCTTAGAATTTTTTATTTCATTTCAATTTCTAGGTCGTCTAGCACCGGATTAAGCAAATTCCACACTGAAAATAAATTGGTAAACGTTATAAATATTGGTAGCATGTAACTCTGTCAAGAAATGTGACAAAATTGTGTCCCCTTTTTCGATTTTCAACTACGGTAAACTTATTTTTTTATCTCTGTTTTTATCCTTACCCTTTTAGGTAGTTTTTTTTATCTTAAACATTGGATACTTAGTAACCCAAAGCAAGGAAGATAACTCTGGTAAAGGTTGTGACAAACATTTTTTTTTCATTTAGAATGTCGATTTAATTATAGTACCGCCCATTGTTTCAGTATACACTATGGTACCGTTAAAGGTAATGAATCTTACTCACAGGGTAGATATTTAAACAAAGACAAATGTTTTGGATTTATCTCTAATGCACATTCCAAAATCATTGCATCTCTGAGCACGGTGTGTCCTGAGTCAGGTCCTTCTTCATTGGCAAAGGTCAATGTGTTGTGTCAAATTGCTATTCTTCAAACCAAATTCTAGTCACATCAGGGCACTGCATAGGTCGGTCCTTGGCTCTTTTCTTTTCCTCCTATACATCTTTACAGTAATAACTTCCCAAAATCAACCACTTCCAATATACAATTTATTTTGCAGAATATACTGTTATGTACATTACAGTCACTTTAGTCCAGCCGGTGGTTGTCAAACTCTTTAATATGATTTTATGTAAGGAACTTAAACCCAAGGGAGGGGGCTATAAATACGCCAAATCCTCCATATCTGTTGCCGTTAAAATCCTGAATAACTACCATACAAACTACATAATCAAACATTTCCCGTGAAAAAAAAAACAACAAAAAAACACACAAAAAAGAAACACGCTGGTTATCTTAATGTAGAAATCAGCCTCATGACAGATCAGACTTCTTCAAATACATTAATTCTTTTTTTCCATATACCGCAAACTTTTGGAACAGTTTTTTAGAACAAGTTGAAACTTTGTCTGCTAGTGATCACAGGTTTTCATTCAAAATAATGTGTGTTTTGGAGGCTGAAGGACATTTTGCTAGTACAGAGGGTCCTGAGGGTGGGTCCCTTGGGGATGGTAGGGCTTGGTCCCATGCCGATAACCTGCGCTATTATAATAACTCATTCAGCGAACAGTTGCACAACTTTCCTAGTTCCCAGCAGTTTTTTAACTTTTTTCTTTATATTTTACTTTGTATAGGCCCTTGATCTTTTATTTTTCCACACCCTTCCAGTCTGTTAGCTATTTTATATACTAAGTATATTTTTCACGAACCCTTATAGGTAGATCTATACTCTTTTGAGACTTGAAGCATTCTTCATAGATAGATATGATTTTGGCCACGAATAAGACCTGAAAATTAAATTTGGCACTGTATGAAAGTGTTAAAGTGGTTAAAAATATTTGAGCCGCGTCATGACAAAACCAACATAATGGGTTTGCGACCAGCATGGATCCAGACCAGCCTGCGCAACCGCGCAGTCTGATCAGGATCCATGCTGTTCGCTATCAGTTTCTCTACGTAAGCGCGGATGCGCAGGCTGGTCTGGATCCATGCTGGTCGCAAACCCATTATGTTGGTTTTGTCGTGACACGGCTCATTGATAAAAAATATTAAGATAGGTTTTAAATAAATCATGTTGCAAATTGGCGTTTTCAAAAATGAAAACAGTATTACAATGGCGTGCACATATACTTGTATATACTTTTTTTGGTTTAATTGTATGAAATTTAAATTCCGCAGAACGCCAGAAACCATATACACAACGATCACTACAATAGATTTCACCATATGAGCCGCGTCACGACAAAACCAACATAGTGGGTTTGCGACCAGCATGGATCCAGACCAGCCTGCGCATCAGCGCAGTCTGATCAGGATCCATACTGTTCGCTGTCAGTTTCTCCACTTGTAATAGAGTTGGTAAGCGAACAGCATGGATCCTGATCAGACTGCGCGGATGCACAGGCTGGTCTGGATCTATGCTGGTCGCAAACCCATTATGCTGGTTTTGTCATGACGCGGCTCATATTATGTAGTATTATCATAAATAGGACATATCTTAGACTTCGGAACATAAACAAAAAAATCACAAGAGAACATTTGTATTAGATTAATTAAATCTTGGTACATAATATGTATGTAGTTATTATAGTTACATTAAATACCGGATTGCAAGAAAACAAATTCAAAATTCAAGAGGATAATCGAAAGCGCTTAGCCCTTGTATCATCCCAGTATCATTCTACAGGCATATCTGATTGCAAAAAGTCTCAATAAATTAGTTATTTGCAAAAATACTAACAAAAACAAAAAAACAACAACAAAAAAGCACAATGATAAGCAAATAAATGAGGACATATCTTATCTTATTTATGTACTGTTCGAAAATGTATCAGTTCGTTCGTTTCGTTTTAAAATGTTTTTTTCGTGAATCTATTTCTCTATTCTAGAGTTATTTCCCTTTTATTTAAAGACCCCATTTGCACAAGATGTGTAGGCCTGAATCGAAACATTAGCCTAGGTAAGTTTTCCCGTTTAGTTTGCTCAATATTGAACTGAATTTCACTGAGATCTGACATAGTCAGTGCTAAGAGTGACCGTAAACGAATTTAAAGCAGTATGATGTAGAGGGAATCCGGGTCAGCTCGGCCCTAAAACATACTCGGCCCCCGAGTCAGCTCGGCCCTATTCCAACTCGGCACGGGTCAACTCGGCCCACTTTTAAAAATGGGTAAAGGACATCAAGGGACTCCTATTATCACGGGCTATTACTATCAGTCAATGTGTATGTTAAAGATACCGATTAATTAGGTGATAATTATGATTGACTCATTCATTCAAATTTGATTAGTGACCACCTGCAATTAATTAGAAGCTTATGCTATTAAGTAAACACGGTCTTGTTTCGTATTTTTGAAAATTTCTTTTCAAACAAAACGCATCTCAGGAAACACATTTTTATTATATCTATATTCACGGACCTGGGAAAAAAAATATGAAGTTATTTTATCAATTTGTTCATATTTTTTCTTCCCAGGTTCGATAATCGTGCCTGTGTCTACATTAATTGTATCGAATCTGCAAGACAAATAAATAATTTTTTTTCTGAATATACTTTATTTCATCAGAGGTACAATGTATAATTATAGAAGAAGAAGAAGAATCTTTATTTTGCCAATTAACTCTCAAAAGAGTCATGTACAAGCATTCATAATATATACAATAACATGTATGCTTAAGTAAATAACTAATTACATAGCAAGATGACGTGACTGTAAGTATTTCTTTTTCTTTCATTATTATAATAGTTACATTAAATTCTTGCAATCCGGTATTTAATGTAACTATTATAATAATGAAAGACATTTAATTTAAAAGTTATTTACTTTTTGAGAGATTCTACATTCAAAATATACAATAATAAGAAGTACTTTGTGTATGTATTACAGTAGGCTTGCAATCACGGGATTATATAATAATAATATAAGATATTTCTTATTATTCATTTACCTTAACAACATGCAAAGCAAAGTAAATACGTTATAGGCCTATATATTTTTGTAAAGTGGGCCGAGTTGACCCGTGCCGAGTTGACCCGTGCCAAGTTGGTATAGGGCCGAGTTGACTCTTTTCCATGTAGAGGTAGAAGTCTACTTTTTTTGTGTGCTTTTAGCACTGTTAAGTCCAATTTATAAGAGGGCCTTACCTCTGTCAATTTTGTCAAACATTTAAACTGTCCTACGAGTCACAAGACACTTGGTGCGGGGGGGGGGGGGTCAGAATCTATCCCTTTGCTTGAACCACAGGTGCCAATCGAACCACACGGTACCAAAGCTAGATTATGAGATATTGTCGTAATGGGTCAGAATCTCGATTCTAGAGGCGAGATATTGCCCAAACACACAATACCACAATATCTCGTTGCACAGTCCAATTAGTTGGACCTGGAAATGGTTTAAACAAAACCTATGACAGAAGCCCTATTTTTGTTAAAATGTTAAAAGAATTTAACTGACAGTGTTAACTGTTAACAAGGTGGGTCAAGTCCAATTCCCAATTTAGACTTTTTTATATGCCATTATGCCTTAACAAATTTTGGTATATATTGTTAAGCACCTGGTCTGTCTGCACAACTGAAATAGATAAAGCCCAAATAACAAAATAAATAGCTTCTAATTCCATTTCTATGGGCAGTCTTTCTGTTAGCAAATTTGTGTCTTTCTGTATCTTTTGAACTGATGAAAGAAAATTGAAACTACTTGACAGAAGTGTAGGAGACGAGGTGCAGGGTGTAGATTTTACCTTGCTCAAGTCAAGGTCACACTTAGTCATTATGTATGAATTATTATTATGTTACTATAATGCCCATAGCTTAGATACTTTATGGCATGTAGCATTGCCTCGTGGACCTCTACAAATATTTGATCAATCATGCACTAAGGGATAATAATACCCTCTCCCTAGGGTCATTTACCATCAGAAGGATAACTAAGATGACATATTTTTCAGACAAGTAAACAGGTCACTGCCCTGATATAAAGTTTATTTTTAAGTTACTCAAACTAATTTTTAATCAGGCATATATTGCTCAGCCTTTGCGATCCCCTTGTTTCCATATCTTGTCAGCACAAATAATAATATCATTTATTTTTACCTTTTTAGGTTACATGACAATTTATCATGAAGATACAGCTGTGTGCAGGACCTGCAAACTATTACCGGTATACCAAGACATTGTGAACAGCCGCAAAGATCAGCAAAATACCAGTTTTCATTTGAATGATATACTCAAGATAATGGATACAAAAATTGTTGTGCAAAAACACACAACAATTTTTTAAGTATTGCTTATAAAATGGGGAAAACAATGAGCACATATTAACCTTTATTTAGGCATTTCCTGAATTAATAAAATCTGAAAATGGAACTGAGTGGAGAATCTGAACAAATGGAGAATATGATAAACAAACATATATCTCATTATAAAAAGGACAATAAAGGTAATATATTTGAAGAAAACCTACATGTAGAGATGTTTAGGGGGGTATACAAAAATGGGGGCTGATGACAATGTTTATGTTTGACTTGAAACCCCGGGGGAAGGAGTTAAAAAGTGGAAGAAAAAACTACTAAACAAGCAAAGGGTATATTAATCAAAAAATATATATTATTATAAAAAGTACAATCAAGATCTTTCATTTAAAGAAAACCTAGAGGACATTGAGGAATATATGGTCGTTAAGGCTGATGATAATGATGATGATAACAGTAATAATGAGTTGAATGATAATGACCAGGTAGTTGTAAGTGATGGAACATTCTCTAAACAAGTATTTATAGCTCACAATGAAGTTAAATTAGAAGTGGACAAATCAGAATGTCTTACACATGTGAATACTGAGAAAAGTATTGTAAGTGACAAACAACAGATTGAATTATGCCTGTCCAAAGTTAGTGACTCTGATAAAATGGTGATTGTTAAAACTGAAGACGATGTCATTCAACCAACTAGTGATCTACCTTATATGAAGCAAGAGGAACTTGCAGGAATCTTAGGATCTGTAAAGGAAGAAGTATTAGAGAGGTGTAATGAACTGGAAAATTCAAAGTGTCAAATTTGTGGACTTACTTTTACCAATTATTTGCAATATTTAGACCACAGACTTTTGTGTTTCCTAGGAAAGAACCAAGATATACAAGTAAAGGTAGAAAGGGATGAAACAGGTGACACTTCTTGTTATTCAAACTTCAATATTGATGAAACTGAGATGAAAAATGAAACAGTACCAACTGTTGAAACAGAGGTTGGTTCATAAAACTTATTTAATTATCAGGAATTACATAGAGTTTTTTTTTTCATAAAAAACATATTAAATTATCAGGACTGCAAAGTACTGTTGAGATGCGATGAACATTAACATTACAATGTTCAGTTCTTTGCATACAACATACTTGTTACACTTTGATAAAGACTTTCTTTCATATTTTTGTTTATAAGAAATGTAGACATTAAAGATACATATAGTATGTATATATTTGAATACAATGTCTTTACATGTAGGCATGGTAATGATTGTTGATGAATTATTAAAATTTCTCCAATGAAATTATTTACACTTCCATTTTAAGGTCGATGGTGATGATGACAACATCTTGAGGATGGAGCAGCCTGATAACATTAGAGATAACATCGCATATACTCAGATTTTGCCTCTGCATGATGACAATAATGTTGCGATAGGCAACAATAGTTTGCAGTCGCCAACAACATATTCTCCTACTGCCGTTAGCAACAACATTGCAGTTAGCAACAACAGTGCCGTTAGCAACAGCATGCAATACAGCCAACCGTTACCTCAGTTACTTATTCAAAACTCTTCTGTAGGGGAAGAAACAGTTGAAGTCGAGGAATTCACATTACCTTGTTTTTATTGTAAAAAGATTTTCCCAGTCGAGGACAAAATATCATATATACAACATGTACAAGTGAAACATCTTAATGGAATGAATAGAATTTACAGAGCTGAATTTTTACGCAGTAAATTTGAAGAATTGAAAAGGTATTTTGAACAAGCAATTTGGCATGACTTGGGAAGAACAGTAAAGATGTGTCGTCGTAAAGATTGCAAGTATATATTTATTGATACGTCGTATATGATTAAACATGATCTTAAAGTTCATAAACACCATAAGTATGTATGCAGCATAGCTGATTGCCATAGAGTATTCAGTAGTAAAGGTCCATTGAGGTCTCATGAAATTGTTGATCATGCAAAGACTGCTACAATAAAAAAGAATGAAGGTGATTCAAATGAACACGTTAAAAAAATTGATAACATTAAGCACTTCAAACAAACTAATGATGAAGTGAGTGATGGTTCACAATCTGCCAAGAAAAGAAGTATTGTTAATACTTTGACCGATGCAGAAAAATCTGTTCATAACAGGGAAAGTGATCAATGGGAATTGCCTGAAATACCAAAGAAGAAAAATAGAAAATTCGCAAGTGATATTGATGATGAGGCTGTGAATGATTTTGATATGATAAACAAAGACATGGTTTACGATGAAAATGAAAAGGGAGACCCTTTTCAAAGGTATTTGTACAAGCATGTAGGACAGGCAGAGGAAATACCAAAACCAATCAAACAAGTTTCAAATCGTAAGAGAAAATGTAGACGGAAAGCAGTATCCTGTATGGAAGGGACAGATAAATGTAATAATATAAATGATAATTCAGTTAAATACCCATGTAAATATAACGGCTGCAGTATGGTATTTATATCCAATGAAGAGAGAAGTTGATCATGTGAAAAACTTCCATATAGTAAATATGTATAACGAGGTGAAGAGACAAAGGAAATTAACTTTCAAGTGTATGAGTGTGGGATGTGAGAAGAAT